GAGAAGAATCTTTGAACTATTAGATTACAGAATCTGGTCCAAATGGTTAGTAACTGTCTACCAGCTACAACAGTGAAGTTGTTTTCATTCTAAGAACAAGTATTTTTTTCAACTTTTGTTATCTAGAACTCTGGGTCTAATTTGTAACTGTAATTACCAAAAAACTGACATATCTTTGTCAATTAGCCTTTGATACTAGCATGGCATCTAGAGCAGACCCAAAAACAGAAATTGTAGCATCTAGGGAGGGAGGGAGGGAGGGAAGGAGGGAGGGAGGGAGGGTATCTACAGTTTCCCTTCATTCATGATGACCACCAACCCCTACTTCCTACTCCTTAAATTATTTAAACATTGTGAAATAATGACACCATCAAACTGGACCCATATATTATAATTTTGTTTCTTTAGGGCATTCATCAAGAAATCATGAAAGAAAAAAATGTTATGGCATCTGAATTCATAATTATAAGGGTTTTTCCCAGTACATTTTAAAGTTGACCCCATCTTTTTTTTTATTTTTTAAAAAAAGACCCTACAAAATGCACAAGCAAATGATCATTTGGAGAGAGGTGGGAGGGGGGAGGGGGTGTGGTGTTCTGAAATGATGTGCTGGGTGTGATGATGAATTGTGTCATGTAGCCTATTGGCACAAACAAGCATGTAGATGATCATAGAGTGTGAACCTTAAAAGAAGTCAAGGGAAAATGTTTTTTTTTTCTTTTTCTGGCTTGGTTGTTCGCCTCTCAGTTTCTTTCTAGTACCAATTGATTTGTTGCTTGCTGCTTTTCCCTCATTTTATGGACTGGTTCAGAAAGCCAAACAAATTTCAATGATGCCATATGGCCATGAGAATGCTTTTCTGCATATGCACCCATATGAAAACTATGAATGAATATGACTTTATTGATTTTATGTTCTAACCATCAAGGCTTTGTTACCGTTAGAATGAAAGCATTACCCCCTGTATTCGAGATTTTGTGTTCAAATTCCACTCTTCCAATATCAATTGTATTAAAAATAATAATAAAAGACTTTGTGCTTGGATTCTCATATTCTTGTGTGGAAACAACTATGCGCCAAGGAGGAAACAAAGAAGAATGTGCAGGGCAGTTTCCTGATAAATTATGCATACGTATAAATTTGGGAAAAAAATAAAGTATAGAAAATGATTCAGGGTCACGGGTTCTGCAAGAGAAGACAAGGATGGATGTGTGATGTGCCACATCTGTTCCTGGGTTATTCGGTACTCCGTTCATTAGATTACGTACTAATTTTGAATTAGAAAAATATTTAAGTATTAATTTAGAAGATGATTTTGCCCTTCTCAAACCACCTGCACCCATTTAACACTTGAGGAGTGCATAAAATTGTTTTTAGAATCCAAAATCAATCTAAATTTTCAGATAATTATAGCTAGGGTTGGGTATATGGTTTGGTTCGGTCTTGTTTAGGGCTAAAACCAGTAGTCCAACTAATTATGTTGGTAATGATTTGGCCAAATAGTGAACCAACTTAATAAGATCAATTTAGATTAGCTTCTTTTTATTGTTTTCATGTCCAAAATTAATAGGCGATAAGGGTTTAGCATATTGGAAAGGCCAGTTTTCTGAGACAATGTCATGCCTTTGAATTTTCTGTCGAATTTTATATGATGCTAATGCGAGTCAGTTTCTGTCTTGTATGATTCTATCCAGGACAATGCCATGCCATATGGTAGATACTCGATAGAGATTGCAAGGCTAGTCATGCATCAGTCTCACTTTTTTTCCACATCAGTTTTGGCTTCTTTTTCTTTGATATTTCTTCAACTTCAAGAATCTCTCAAGTGGGTCGTCCTCCATCCATTTGACTATCCAATGGCTATAAGGCAGCCTTTCAGGGAAAAAAAAAGAAAAAGAACAAAGAGTTATGATTTCATTGACTTGATTAAGCGTCGTTTCCACAACAGATCCAAAATCATTTTTGGCGTTATCTTCATCTTAGTGTGTGGAATAGATTGATGATAATGATATAATCAATTCGAACCCCTCTCCATTTATGGGACGGCTAATTAGTCTAGAAGAAGAGTATTATCAACCCATTCTTAATTGCACTTCAAGCAATCTTTCACTCTACAGATTGTGATAAATTTTTGTAAATAACTTTCAAATGTTGCTTTTTAAACAATGAATTAAAACTTATCTGATGAGGTCTCAAGTTCATATTACTCAAAGATTCTCAACAAATAAGTCAAAAAAAAGGTCGCCTACTACCAGTCAGTTGCTGCTCCAACAAATACCACTCTTTACATTATTTTTCTTGAACTTATTTGTTTAGGAACTAATTAGACAATTAGCTCAACATAATCATAAATTAAGCAGGCGTATTACCGCGGCGATGCAACTTCTGTTTTCCAAACACATGAAATCTTCTAAACTTTCGACCCCATCTCTTGAACTAATCCAATTAGCCGTTTTCCAGATGATCATATATACATTTTAATAAACCAAGACATTTTAATGATTGCTAGACCCTAAAGAGAGAATAAAGTTTTATTCCTCCACTCAGACTCCAATGGGGTTTAAACACATAACATAATCCTATTCAGATTGATTAATCTCTGTTAATTAGTCCTGTTTTGGTTAAAGCTTCCCAAAACCTTTTCAATGGTGCTAGGATGGCCAGTTTATAAACTTTATATATTATATGATATATATATACATACAACTGGGCATGCATTTGGTGTTGGTTTCCCATTAAGCATGACCTCTGCCCAAAAAAAAGTGTAAAGAAAGTGAAAAGAGTTGCCTTTGCCATGACCTTTCTCTCATTTAAATCCTTGGGGAGGAAAAGGAAAGGGTGCTTTCAGAATATGCATCTTTTGAATTAGTCTTGTAAACCCTATTAAACAATAATAATCCTCTGCATACCACATCCATATGCTATAGAAAATAAAAATAAAACCCAGAGGAATAAAATCTCATGGGATCTTTTCAAGTGCACCACTAATGATTTCAGAAGAGCAGGAAAGTGAGGGAGGCCTGTTGAGAAAAGAAGAGAAAGCACAACACTCCAAATGGGAGAAAATTTTGCCACAAACTGTTCAGATGCATCTTTTTCTCACGTCAAAAGGGTTTTTGATAAAGTGGAAGGTGATGGTGGCATTGGGGGAGAAAAGTGGAAATGAAGCACAAGAGGACAATTATGATTGTGGTTAGGAACAGACTCAAATGGGTTGGATCCACCATATCCTTTTTTTTTTCCCCTCAAAGTTTGTAAAAAAGCCATTGATCTTGGCCCTACATATCTTGCCTGGTAGGTTCCACAAAATTCCTCTCAATCTTTCAAGGGTGCTGGATCTGCTTCTTCTTC